AGGAGTCACATCTTCTCGGTGTTACGCCATTAGCCTCTTCGTCTGGGGGAGATCAGTACAATGGAGTAATGAAGCTACAAAAAGAGTACAACCTTGAATCAAAGATTGGATTACTTTGCTTTGATACAACATCAAGCAATAGGTATACATAAACGATCTCTAGTAAGAATATCTACTGCGCTAAATAAGTATCTAATTTTCTTAGCTTGTAGACATCATGTTTCTGAGTTGAGAATCACACACTTCTGTAAAGCTGTAACAAATGAAAAAACTACGGCGCCTGATAAACTTCTGTTTAAACAATTCAAAAAAATGTTTGAGCAGCCTAATTTCAAGTATAAACCATCTTTGCTAGTTAAATTTTCTTGGGATGAAGTTAAAGGAACTGTTGTTGAAAAAGCTGCAATAGAATCTCTTGGCTGTTAAGGTTTTACTTATCAAGAAATGGTATTGCAAGGGAAGATAGAAAAGAGCTAGCAGAGCTAGTGGTCAGCTATCTCTCTGCTTCTAACATTAAAATTAAAAAGACTGGAGCTATTCACCATGCGAGATTTTTAGGGAAATCTATATACTATTTAAAAATGCAAATTCTTTCAAACCAGATTGATTTTCTTCTAAAAAGTAAAGAACATATTAAAATAATAACAGAATTTATAGCTTGCTTTTATGCAAAGTGGTATCTGCAATCAAATGATACAATCAAAGCTCTTTACATGGATGTTACTGCCATTCATCAAATGCATCAATATAAAACAGTATGTGCAGAACCAGATGCCGTAAATGCTGTGTTGAATTCTTTATTCAAATATACATAGCATCTAGATTCAACTCTGATTCCTTTAGCTTTGCTGGATGATGACGTTACACTTGAAGAGAAGAAAAAAATTGCTGCTGCAATATTATCATATCCAAAACCAATGCCATGCTATTTTAAAACGAAAAATAAACAGAACAAAGACATAACAAAAATGTTAACACTTGAACTAGACATTCATCAGCAGCCTTCTAGCTTAGCTCCTTTGGTTGACGAATTTTCCTGGTTAATGTTTGAAATGGTTGGAATAGATGAACAGCGAATTGAGGACTGGCTAACCTTGCCACCTCAGTATTGGCACACGCAATCATCGTTTAGATTATTTCTAAAATTTGCAAAAAGTATTGTTTGTGTAAATGACCATTCCGAGAGGGCTATTGGAATGATGCAACAATTTGTTCACCGCTACAGAGATAAGGAAGAAAAACAAAATAGACTTATTACTGTAGACAAAGTTCGTTCAATTCTCAAGGCATCAGACAGCGAATCGTTATCAACCAATAAAATAAATAAGCAAGTATTAAGCAAGAAATGAATCACAGATGGATTACTTAACATACGCTCCAAAATACAGAAAATAATTTGAAACAAGTTACAAAAAATTAAAAAAGTTTGCATCATTCAATCAACTTCTATTTTATTCTCAAAAGATTAATTAAAATAAAATTAAATTTCTTTTTGAGACGTTGAGCAATGTGATTATATATAAGTCATATAAATGCAGAATTATTATGCATTATTTTGTTAAATGCGATTTAAAACTTTTTTTTTGCGTATTTTTTTGCAAAATCTTTTTTTTATTTAAACAACAATTATGAAAAAACCAGTATACACAACAAACTAAAAAAAAAGTTTGGACCATTATGAGCAAAATATAAAAAAAAAAATTACAAAATATTGAGATTTACCTAGCACTCAAAGCCAAATTACTTGGGAACTATTTGGGGCATTTTTCGGGGTATTTTGCCGCTTGAGCACAAGGTAAATGTCAATATTTTTGAATTTTTTTTTTAATCGTATTTTTTTTATGTTTGCCCCAAATTTGGCTTATTGTGTATTCGCGTTTTGAAATTTTTTTTTTTTTGAACACCCCTTTTAAACATAGACCTAAAATAAACAAAAACACATAAATGTTTTAATCTATAATTAATATTAAAAAAAAATCGACAATAAACAAAAACACATAAAAAATGAAATAAGAGAATTTTGTTTTGAACCTCAAACTCAAATAAACATTATCTATAATTTATTTAAAAGACATTAAAAATTTATTTAAGGTGTTAAGTTTATTTATATATTATCTTAACATTTCTGAAGAATTAAATTTGTGTTTAAATAAAATGCTTATAGGATTCTTATGACTTTTATTAAACATTAAAAGATAACTTCTACAATGCAATGCACAGGAGGCTGCATAAGCGCGAATTGGCATATGTCCGAACTGGCATAAGTGCGAAGCGTTGCAAAAACTGGCATAAGTGCGAACTGGCATTTGTGCGAATTGGCATAAGTGCGCCAAAACATTTTGCAAACATTGGCATAAGTGCAAATTGGCATAAGTGCGAACTGGCATAAGTGCGAAACAGTTACAAAAACTGACATAAATGCAAACTGGCATAACTGCGAATAGGCATAAGGGCGCCGAATAAAATTTTAAAAATAGGCAAAAGTGCAAATTCGCACTTATGCCAGTTCGCACTTATGCCAATGTTTGCAAATTTGTTTGGCGCACTTATGCCAGTTCGCACTTATGCCAATTCGCACTTTTGCCAATGTTTATTTATTTTTTGTTTTTTTTTATTTTTTTTTTATAAAATATTTTGCCGTTTAATATTAAAATAACTAAATATATTTTACAATTTTTACATTAGTAACGACAGGACTTCTAGAAGATCATGAGGATCTTGTCATAAAGCCCTTTACAATATATAGTTAATTCTTAATAAAAATACAATGTCTGTAGTGAAATAATAATGATACACCTTTATGCAAAAATATTTAAAAACCAAGATAAAATGTTAAAAAGCCAAGATAAAATGTTAAACCAAATAATATGCAAAATAAAACAACAACAACAACAACAACAAAAAAGCAATTAAAAATAAATCAAGATATTTTCAATTGAAAATATAATTTTTTTTAAGTTTCTGTTTGAATGAAGCAAAAGTCAGTTGGGTGGAAAAATCAAAATTTGGTAAGACTATTTTGTTCCAGAGATAAGGACCTCGATAAGAAACAAAAAACTGGTCTTTGCTTTTACGACTAAAAGGGGCAATAAGATTGTTATTAATTCGAAGATTATATTTGTTTTTAGGTTTCATACAATAAAGATTTTGTAATACATTTGGCGACAAATTTTCTCTACATTTAAACATGAAACATAAAATATTAAAGACATTTAGTTGATATACATTTAAAATATTCATTTCTTTAAAAAGTTGTTTCGTATGAAAAAACCGATTTTTAAAATTTATTGCGCGAGTTACGTGTTTCTGATGAAGGTTAAGAGATTTTAGCTTTGTTCTGTGAGTGCTTCCCCATATAATATTAACGTAGTTTATATGACAATGTATAAATGATATTTATACAACTGGTATTTATTTAATATATTTTTTGCTTTATAGAGTATTCCGATGCATTTAGCAATTTTATTGGAGGTATTATCAATATGATTTCTCCAATATAGATTTTCATCAATATATACTCCGAGAAGTTTAGTAACTTTTTCTCTTTTTATTATTATATTATCAATTAAAAGGTCTGGCATGATGTGGGGCAGTTAAAAAGTGTCCATTTCGTTTTTTCTATATTTAGAGACAATCTATTTTGTTTAAACTAAACAAAAACTTTTTTTAATTCATTTGTCATATTAGTAAAAAGCATATTAATATCTTTATGAGACAAAAACAAATTTGTGTCATCTTCAAAATTTATTGCTGTTAAATTTGATGACTTATGAAGATCATTTATGTATACTAAAAAAATAAGAGGACCAAGTATGGATCCTGGTATTGCAGTTTAACCTCCTCCGGCTAATTGCCATATAGAGGTCACTTTACCAGAAGTCCGCAAAGACTGGTTGAGCTCCCGAAGGAGCGTCATACCCGCTCTACGGACTGAGAGTAAGGTGATTTTAGGAAGAACGAAGATATGTTAGAGTGAAAGATAGAAGTAGTCAAGTTAGAAAGATAGCATAGAGTAGACGGACAGGATTGCACGCGATGTTGGAGAGTGCAATACATACTATTAGTTAGGCTTAGCCTAAGTAAAGTACGCCGACAAAGTAGTGATTGGAGCTCACTTAACATACGCTATTTGCCGTCCATGTATGACCAAGTATGGATCCTTGTGGAACACCACATGTTATATTCATTAATAGATGAGATATAGAATATTTATTGTACACAAACTGTTTGCAAAATGTTTTGGCGTACTTATGCCGATTCGCACATATGCCAGTTTGCACTTATGCCAGTTTTTGCAACGCTTCGCACTTATGCTAGCTCGCACTTATGCCAATTTGCACTTATGCCAGTTCGCGCTCACTTATGCCTGTTCGTACTTGAAATGAAATTCGCGCTTATTCAGTCGTCCCAATACAATATATTGTAGGTATTGAGTGAATTATTATGTTCAAATGTTTTTTTTTAATAGATATGTCAATAACAATAAAAAACTAAACAAACAACAAGAGCAAAATTTGCATTGCTTATTGAAAAAGAATAGAATTGTGGAATTTTATCGTGTATGTAAAGCTACTAAAAAAAGCTATTAAAAATAATTAGATTTCATCCTTTAAAAAACAAAAACAAAAACAAATATTAAACAATTAAATATACAATTAGGAATAAGTTGTAGAAATAAATTAAAAACTTAAAAAAAGTAAAACAGCAAAATATAAACAAACTAAACACGTTTGTTTGAAATGAATGTAACGCGTTATTTTTACTTTTGGGTTTATTTGAATAATTTACAGATTATTGTCATTTTCTTTAATTATGATTGGTTAATTAGAAACTTTTTTTCTTAATACTAATCGGATCACTTTTTTTAGCGAATATATTTAAATACATTACTTATTTAAACACATACAATTATGTAGGTTAACGAAGTGTTGAAATTAATAATGTCAATGTTTAATTTTGAATAAATGATTGCTTGATATGTGCTTCTAAATATCAATGAATTAGTAATGCATGAAGGGCTACTTTGACTTCTTTTAATAATATTTGTTCGTTTGTTAAAGCTTAAAGTTTGTTGTAGTTGAAACAATATTTTACATTAGTATAAAAAGAATTAACAATTTTTTAAACAATTTTAAACAGAATATAAAAGGGTTAAACACTTATGCTTGGTTTCTAAATATATTCGAGATGAACTTTTTTTACGGCTTCTTTTTCATTCCATCTGGTATGTATAGCAAATGTCTGTATTTTGAGGGAAGTGTTAAATCCAATCCCTCAAAGTGCTGTTTGAACAATTTATAAAAATTCTAGACCCGATTACGGCTTTTACAATGTGATATAAATGTTATCAAATTAATATTAAGTGCAAATATTATTAATAAAAACATGATTAGTAATAAATATTAAATATAAATGTTATTGAATGTTATCAAAAATCTCAGAGTTCTTTTATTTTAAAGTACAACTATAATTCCGTTGGAAATCGCATCGGTCAGTAAAATTTAGATTGCACTTTAAAGGATTGGATTTAGTGTTTTCCGTATTTTGAATGTTAAACTTTATACTTTAAAAAACTGTAATAATTTTATCATGGGCTTTTTTATTTAAGTAAAGTGTAATTTTTAGTAATGGATATATTAATAAAAATTGTTGAAACGACGTGAGCTGTGTACCATAAATTTTATAACTTATCCTTTAATAGCCGTTAGCTATATTGATTGTCTATATATGTTTTCAGTTACAGTATTTCCTTCTATTGAGATACCAATACTTTTGTAAAAAACTTCCTCAGTGTTACTTTTACGTGACAGTGAAGAACATATCTAGCATAAAACAAATTTAATTAACATAATTAACATAATTAATATAATTAACATCAGAAAATATTTAGTGAACACCAGAACATAACAATTACACCTATGTGAAAATTATGTTGATTAACTAAATATTTTATGATGATAAATAGGTTAATTAAAGTTATTTTATGCTATTTATGGTTACCGAAATATATTTCGAATATATTTTGGCAAACATTAAAGCTGCAGCTAATCATTAAAGGTAGAGCTACCCCACCAAACATTTGGTCTAAAAAAGATCTTTTAAACGAATTAGAGGTTTTTAATACTAAAAAGAAGTCTTTTTTAGACGGAATGTTTGCTGGGACTAGTGGTAGTGTGCTAAGTCTTTGAAGTTATTGAATAGCGATTAATAAATAATCTAAAAAACAAAAAAAAGAAGGCCAATAGATTTTATTATAAGAATATTCAATTTTTATAAAACCTGCAAGCTGTCCATTTTTTTTTCCAAAAACAAAGCTGGTATAAATATATTGGATTAAAGGCAAATAATAAAATAACTTGTCATTTTAGATTTTTAAAAATGTAATTTCAATACAAAACTTTTTTTTCAATCAGTTTCAAAAAAAATTTTAATCATTTAATTTAATCTTAAACTTTTTTCCTTATTTGTTGATAGGTCATTTCCAGAAGAATTTTGAAGTTTCTTACATCACATTAGCTTTTTTAAATAAAATCCTGCATATGTTTGCTTTTGCCCAAACCACCATTTAGCCCCTAAATTACAAATAAAAGCCATAAACTTTAAAACCAAATTGACTAAAAGTACAAAAGTGAAAATTATTTGTATTAAAATAACATTTTGTTAATTTTTTAAATTAGAAAACAAATTTACTTTTGCGTTTGTTTTTGTTACCATAAAAATATTATTATTTAAATAGTTTTTAAAGTTAATTATTAATAATTACGTTGCTTGGCTCCTTTAAAATTGTTATGAGATCGCAAATTTCATTTTATTTCATTTTATACATTGTTTTAAGAAAACTTCTACTTATATATCTTTTCGTTCATGAAAGTATAGAAAACATCGTTTTGTCATATATTTTTATTGTATGTTAAAGTTGGGCTGACTTAAAACTCTTCTTTATTTTTGGCTTGCTATTGAGACGCGCAAATTAAATATTTAACTATACTTGCTGGATGGCATGTTTATTAAACTCAAAAACTGATTTGAGTTGCAAAAGCCAACTTGGATAAACTAAGTTAGAACCTCATTTCATCAACTTTTTGACATTAAACTTGTTAAATTGCTTAATTGAAATTTAAAGACATACGTACATATGCTTTATTTGTTTCCACTTTTTTTTATCGGTTGAAGCTTTTTTTTAATTTTTAAGCTTGAATAGTCTGAAATTTTTTTAGCTGCCTTAGTCCGCCTTAATTTCTGTTTTAGCTTCATGTGTGTATGTATGTATATCCATATATATACCATATATATCCATATGATACTGTCAACCACAAGATTCTTATCAACAAACTATGTAATTACGGAGTAGCTCACTACTTAAATTAGAGTAAATTGAGCTCAATGTTGAGCTCAATTTACTTTAATTTAAGTTAGAGTAAATTGAGCTCAACATTGTGTCTCAATTTACTCTAGCTTAAATTGGCTGCAATGTTATTTAGAAAATCGTAAACAAGTAGTACCATTTGATTTAACATGCTCCCCATTTGAGTCAATAAGTTGTGGAGTTCCACAAGGATCAATACTTGGACCTTTACTGTTTTTAATTTATATTAATAATATTTATTTGTCATCAAAAATACTTAATTATATTATTTTTGCTGACGATACTAATGTTTTCTATTCTGATTCAAATTTAAAAAATATTTTTTGTAATGTAAACACTGAACTAACATATCTCAATGAGTGGTTTATAGCAAATAAACTTTCGTTGAATATTGAAAAAACAAAATATATTTTGTTTGCTAAACCATCTAAATCCGAGAATCTTCCACTTACACTACCAGAACTAACTATTAACAATATTAAAATAAAAAGAGTGTTTTCAATGAAAATACTTGGAATAATTTTTGACGAACATTTAAATTGGAAAAGCTAAATAAAGCTAGTCGAGAACAAAGTCTCAAAGACTTTAGGGATAATGTATAAGACTAAACCTCTTTTGAACAGAATATGTTTAAAAAATTTATATTTTTCGTTTATACATAGTCATATTAACTATTGTAATATTGCCTGGGCAAACAATCACTCATCTTTCCTAAAAACTATTTACACAAAACAAAAGCAAGCAAGTCGATTAGTTTCGGGCATGGATAGATACGAAAGTGCCGAGCCGTTACTTAAGGAAATAAATGCCCTAAATGTATACAAATTAAACATCTACCATAACTTGTTATTTATGTTTAAACTTCAAAACAAATTAATTCCAAAATATTTTTATAAAAACTTCTTTCTTATTAATCATAAATATAAAACAAGATAAATATGTTAGTGGGATGTAGTAATAAATAATTACTACATCCCACTAACATTACTCAAAAAGTCTGACTTCTCAATTACATGTCGGGGACCACGCTTGTGGAAATCGGTTCTTGACGAAAATATGAAAAAAATAAAATCTATTGATATATTTAAAAGAGCTATAAAAAAACACTTACTAAATTTAAACAATACGTACATTCTTTCATTTTTTTAATTAAAATATATATATATATATATATATATATATATATATATATATATATATATATATATATATATATATATATATATATATATATATATATATATATATATATATATATATATATGTATTTTGCGTGTGTATGTATCTATATATGTATGTGTGTGTATATGTATATATGTATGTATGTGTATATGTGTGTATATGTATATGTGTATATGTATATATATATATTTGTGTGTATATATATGTATATATATGTGTGTGTGTATATGTATGTGTATGTGTGTATGTATATATGTGTGTGTGTATGTGTGTGTATGAATATGTATATATGTATATGTGTGTATGTATATGTATATATGTGTATATGTATATGTATATGTATATATATATATATATATACATGTATGTATATGTGTGTGTATGTATATATACATATATGTGTGTATGTGTATGTGTGTATGTATATATGTATGTGTGTATATGTATATGTGTGTATGTGTATATGTGTATGTGTATATGTATGTGTGTATGTGTATATATATACATATATCCTTCTTATATATATTCTTCTTGTTTCTTTTTGTTTGTCTGTTTTAATTTTGTTAAAAAAAAAAAAAATATGAGTAGATGAAGTTAAATCTATAAAATGTTTGGAATCTTTTTTAATTCAAAATATCTTTTGTATATTTAAATATATATTATGAAGTTTATTGGATATATATACGCATATGTACGGATTTGTAAATCATTTTTTCAAACTTTTTTATTTTTTATTATTTTCAAACTTTTTAGTTTTTTTGATTTTTTCAAACTTTTTAATTTGTTTTTTTTAAACTTTTTTTAATTTCACTTTTTTATATATTATTGGAAATTGTAAAATTTTTTAATTTTTTTTATTTTCACGAAGGGGCTTGATGATAAGACATTTTTTTTTAATTTTTTTAATTAATTTATTTTCGTCATTTGACACATTTTACAATGTTAACCTTACATTCAAATAAATTTTTACAAATGCAAGCTGACTGGGGCAAGTAGAAGACAAAGTCAGCTTGCATTTGTAAAAATTTATTTGAATGTAAGGTTAACATTGTAAAATGTGTCAAATGAAGAAAATAAATTAATTAAAAAAATTAAAAAAAAAATACATACATACATACTTACATATGCTTTATCTATTTCCACATTTTTTTGCAATTAACATATATATTTGAATAATTTTTAGTAATGTAAGATTTTCTAGGCCTATTAAACTGATTTCGTTTTCTCTTTTTCAAATATAAAATGAAAATTTGGACACGCATTCTAAGATAATTGACCTGGTAAAATTTTTGAAATAAAAAACAAATAAAATAAAGAATGAAGTGTAATAAATTACATAGTATCATGAATTTTAAAATATTTCTATTAAAACATCGTTATAAAACATCGTTATTAAAACATTACTATTAAAAAAAACGACAACTTAAGTATTATTACCCATACTCTTTAACCAACGATTACAATACAGGATTAAGACGTAATAAACGATTACAGGATAGATGTAATAAACGATTACAATACAGGATTAAGAAATGCGAAGCTCCAAAAGCCTGGTGGTTGTAAAAAAAATTTTTTTTAAAGTATAATTTTTTTTTCAGAAAAGGTCTAGCAAAAAATGGGGTCAAATAAATATTAAGAACTCGTTGATAGGTGTTAGTTAATTTATTTTTACGTTTCAGTGAAGCTTTAGCCGTGTTCAATATGAGAAATGAAATTTTTAGTTTTTTAAAAAACTTAATTTAACTGAAAAAAAACAAACTATTTCTACACTTTCTACACGTTTGAGAAGAAAAAAATTTATCTATTTATTATTCTTCAGTTATCGGTGGGTTTAAATCTTTTAAATCTAAGCTTTGGAGGTTTAATTTTCACTTGTGAGGCGTTTTTTGAAATAATTATTGGGTTCTAGTTGTTTGCAATAAAAAATTTTTTTTTTGCCTACTAGCTCATTCGTAACCATTCTAGAGCCAATAAATGTGTTTAGATATTGACTGTAGAATAGTTACGAATGAGTATATATTGGTGTTTTTACAAATTTTTAATAAAATGTTGGTTAACACTAAATACTGTGGCTAACATTTAGCCTGGTTTAGTCAGGGTGCGTCATAACTTTTTTTATGCTCACTTTCATTTTCAGTTTTGTGTTATGTATTTTTTGATAACTTGATAATCATAAAGTTTTTTCCAATTTTCAGTTTTCCACTGAAACGCTTCTTAAAAAAAAATGTATAAAAAAAGTAGCGTTCTTTGAAATTTATTCAACAGTTTATAATTGTACAAATTAATTGTGTCATCATATACTTTAATTTTTTAACTTTTGTGTTTAAACCAAAAACATTCTGAAAACATTTTTTCTCAATATATTTAGTGATGGTAACCTCGTTTAGTCATAAGCTATTTTAATAATGCAAAACCAATAAACATAAGAATCTGACCATGTGTGGTAGAATAGAACTTTTCAGTTAGTAAGTTTGGTCATATTACTAGAACATAGTGTTTAAAAGATAGTCATATAGCAGATGTTTAAAATTGACATAAAAAAGTTTTTGAAAGGACAAAGATATCTTGATAAACAAAAATTTAAAATATAAGAACTCTTACTCAAATAACTAAAAAAATAAAAATTACCTTCACCTGCTCTTACAAGCTAAATTAATAATAAATGTAAAATTTGATTAAAACTTTTTTATTACAAATACAACCATGTTCTTTTATTAGCATTTAGCAGTATCAATGTTTATTAAAATTAGGTATTTACTAGATAATGATGATTTTGGAATATTTTGAGAATTCATCTGTCATATTATAATTTTGGAAAATATTTTATCTGTATTCCGTAATTTTATACGTATTTCATAATTGGTAATAACAGGTTCTTTGAAGTAACTACTTTTGGATTTTTTTAAATTATTATTATTGCTGATGCCAAGATCTGTATTGTCATTTGCTTGATTTATTTAATGCTTTTTCAATGTGGTTTATATAAAATATGCAAAAAGTATTCAAAAATTATTGATGTTCCGAACGCAAGGTTTTTCAATTTTCACTACAAACTTTATTGTCATCCATATTACCTTTCAAATAATAAAACATCATTAACCATTTCTTAGTATTATTTAAGGAAACACAACTGAGATTTTTGCCCTTCTTTTAATTCAACAGATGTAGAATCAAAGTGGCTCTCTACGATGTTTTTGTTTTGTAAAACTTGCAATGTTTTTTTAAAAAAGTGAAACAAATTTGAAATAAATAAAACCAAATGTATGTCCAGTGAATCAAAAAAAAAAAAGGAAAAAAAATTGCTGTTTGTAATGAATTGTAAAACATGTCGTATGATTTTTAATGTTAAATTACTGCAAAAGCTTAGAAATTTATAACATTTTTTGGTGTGTTTCTTTGAATTACAAATAATGACAAATAACTATACTATAATTTGATAATTTACTCAAAAAATGACTAGAAACTAATAAACAAAACTGGTGGGCAAGTTAATCAAAAAAAATTACGTTAAAAAAATTTTTAATAAAAAAAATAATTAAAAAAAGAAACTTTAAGCTCATCTTATCTCGCTCACACAAGCCCAAAATAGTTTTTATTTTTTTTACTTTTTTTTTTTGAGAATTACAATATGAAGATTTTTATATAATTCTCTCAAAGATTTTCTTTTTTTTTATATATAATTTTCCCAAATTTTTTATATATTTTATTCAGTTATCCCAGTTTTTTATATAATTCTCCCAAAGACTTGCTTCCTTCTGCCTTTGTTTTACAATGAATTTTATAGTCAGATTAGACACATAAGATTATGCGATTTGAGTTAAGCAGGAGCACATATAATTTTAATGGCTCTTCAATATTGCAAACTGTTTTGTCTGCTTTCTCTAATGAAGTCCGTGTTCTTACATTTAAGTTTATTAATGTATTACAAGCTTAACTTTTTTATTGTAATTTAATTTCTTTTCTATTTTTTTCTTCTTGCTTTGGTAGAAGGTACATACCAAATTATCAAGTTACTCAAGACTCTAGATTAAGTATACAACAGACACAAATTGTAACCTTACTTATTTATATTTTTTTAGTTTCAAGCCTGCTATGTTACAAGCAGCAGTTGAATCAAACAAACTCAGATGGGACGATATACAATAATTGTGCCGTGTGCCAGGCACTAGAGTACAATTTTCCTAATGGAACTTATTTTGTTCAAAATTGTATTACAGGAAACTCAGGTTGTGTTTGCCCTACAAGCTCCATGAGTACACTTACAAGATGTCAGGTATGTAAACTAGAGTAAGTCAAAACAAAAAAAATGTTTTTGAAATTTGAAATAATCTTATTAACTTTGATATCTATAACTCATGGTAGCAATTTCAATGATTTGAAATGTTGAGGCTATGGAGACTAAAAAAGTTGTGATCATGGGAGAATAAAAAATGACTGATTTGTGTAAAATACCTAACTAGCCAACTAAATTTGTAAAAAAAACGACTATAATTCGAAAATCTGCTTCTATGAGGGAAGGAGGAGGGGGGTGGAACACCCACACACATCGTAAAATTGCTTCTGCCTGTATGTACGTTTCAGGGATTGCTAAAATTTGGAAAATTTTTATATTTTAATAGTTTTTACAAACCATTTTGATAATAATTTTACACAACAGCTCTCTTCTACTTCAGCCGTTGTTTTTTAGTATTGTCAAACCAAAAAACGTTTTTTCAATTTATTAAATAATTTGTATGATATTTTAATTTTATTTTATGGTGACAAAAAATTTCTAAATAACTATTTTTTGTAAATTAAAAACTATTATTTTAAAAGTAGCAACATTTTTTTTCTAAATTTAGAATTCTTTAAAGCGGAAGCATAAGATAAAAATTAATAGATTTACTTTTTTTTTACCTTTTTTAGTCTCTTTAATTTGCAACTTTTTTGCGTTGCTAAAAGTTTATGGGTAAGCTATATTTTATTAATTCCTAAAAATTTTTTAGAATTCGAGATTATTTTTTTATTTATAACTATACTTTTAGTGTTGTTCTGCTGATTTATGTAACACTGTCATTTTTGAAACTGGTATGTATTAACAATATTAACGAAATAGAGTTGATAAAGAATTTAATGAGAAAAAATTAAGTTTAAATAATAAAAAAAAAATATATTACGAAAAAAAAAAATTATAAACAAAATAGATATGTAATAGAAATTTTCGTTTTCTACTGAAAATGGCAGTTATTCTGCCCAATTATAAATAACATATACCGTAATAGATAGGGTGCAACAAAACTAATAAGCCCTTGACGACAAAACTGGCCTGAAAAGAAAGAACACAGTATCTGTAAAATATCTCAATTTAATGAATATTATTCTGATGCTTTGTTCTTTCTTATCTGAGCAATATTGTTGTCTAGGAGTGTTATTAGTTTTATTGCACCCTATATTAAGTTATTTACACCCAAAAATAAATATTAATTTTTTCGAACATTGAAAATTTAACTTTAAAACTTAAGAACGAAAATAAAAAAAATCTGAATAATTCTAAAAGTTCTAAAATCTTTTTCTAGTTTGTTGCAATTAAAACTTTAGTTTGTTGCAATTAAAACTTTAGTTTGTTGCAATTAAAACTTTAGTTTGTTGCAATTACTGTTATTAATTAATTACAGCAACATACTCTAAAGCAACTTTATTTTCTATATAATAAACGCAAAAATTATTTAGATATCAATTCTTCTTTTTCAAGGTCAATATATATTGACCTTGAAAAAGAAGAATTGAGGTTAAAAGTTAACTAGCAAAAATAAACATATTAAGATATTTTGAAAGATTAAAAATTAACGGTTATTGAACAACTATTGTTGAAATTCTTCACGATCAAATCTTCACGTTGTACACAGTGTATTATCAATATTAGCATAGTATTTAATAAAGTCATTTATTGAATAATATGCTAGTCAGAACATGTATCAATGCTTTTTTAACATTTTTGAATATAGAAAAGTCTGAATATTAGCCTGAATATTATGTTTAAATATTAGCCTAGCTTGATTTTACACTATACGCAGTGCGTATAGTGTAAAATCAAGCGGGTAAAGGTATTTAGGCCTTAAAAAGTGTTCCACAGTAATAAACGTCTTAAGTCATACGAGTAAAATAAAATTAAAAAATTTTGTAAATGTTTGTAAACCTAGATTTATTTCTAACTGCTAAATTACTTCATGACATTTTGTGACCTTCTTCTTGAAACATTATTTATATCTATAAAACTTATAGGCTATAGACAAACCTACAGCCTTTAGCTACCTAAATAGTTAAAATACTTATAAATCTAACAAATTCAAAGCATTTCAACCATTTTAAGTTTAAGTTCCATTTTATCCAAAGCTAGTATTTGTTTTTTTATCTTTTTAAGCAGTCTATTCTTTTCTCTATTTTTTTTGACATTTCTAATGGTTTTTACTTTTTAAGTACTTCTATTTTTAAGTACCTGCACTTTTAAGTACCTCTCTTTTCATTACCTCTATTTAATTTATATTAACCGAAACGGTTAATGTAAAATATTAGTTCATTTGTTCAAAAAATTTCTTGTATATTTTGAACAAAATGAAAAACGATTTAAAGCGTTCATTATAAGTTTTGAAATTCAAAAATAAGGAGAATGAGCTGGATTTATGGCTAGGGTTGGGCTTTTACCAATTTTTAAATTTACCGGTATTTCGATATAAAAAAGCATAACTTTTCGGTAAATATCGGTTAAAAAAAAAAAAAAAACCGGCAACTATTGAAACATTAACTTTTTTGTTAACCGGCAACATTAACTTTTTTGTTTCTAAATAAATTCATAATAATATTCAGATCTAATTTTTTTATTGATAACTGTTTTATTGATAAAGCAATCTTACAACCTAACTTCTTAAAAAAACAAACTAATAACCTTACTTCTCAAAAAATTGTTAATAAATTTAATACAAGTTTAAACAAGAAATATTTTTTAGAAACAAATTAGTAAAACACATTTAAATAATCTAAAAAAGCAAATAAACACACAAAATATTGAATAAGATTAAGGCTAAAAATCTTTCTAAAGTCAAAAAAAAGACCTAAGCAATGGAACTCTTTTCAAAAAGATAATTTAAATATTGCCAATTCATTAATGACATCATTCATCAACATTTAGTTTTAAAAATTAAAATTTTGCGGAATGATTCTCACGATGATTTTAAATTTGAACAGCCGTGGCGCAGTGGTTAGAGTTTTGGCTCAAAACTCAGAGGTCCGAGGTTCGACGCCAGCTCTAGCCCAACAAGCGACATTGGTACGGATTGAGGCGTGAGCTTCATATTAAATGCTCTCCCCCCGGTGCTCTGTGATAAGACCGTAAAGACTTCTGGGATCACCTAAAATAACTAAAAAAAAAAAAAATTAATTTTAAATTATTCAAAAATTATATTTATTTTTTTTAGTTGTAACTGTTGAGTTTAATTTAAAACTTATACTTAAATTTTAAAATTTATACTTGATGCGATATATTTACGAAGATATTCGAATTTACGAAAGTATTATAATCGAACTTTGTTATGATTCTTAGGGCTTCTTTTATTTTATTTAATTGTTGACTATATATAAAAACAAAATAAAATAAGTTTCTAAATATTATATATTGTCTATCAACATATATTTTGAGCGCAGAATAACCAAGGCATTTTAAACTGAGTATTAAAAGTTAATGATTCGCAGAAATAAAGTTTTAAGAAAACTTAGTGAATAAATTATAACTAAGTGATTCAATTTTAACAAAGTTGATAATAATAAAAAAAAGATAGCAAAGCGAATAATTCAATAACAAAATAATAAATTTAGTTGTAAAAAAATTTTGCTGAGATAATTAAGGAGGGAGGGGGATGGTACCATGAAAAATTGGATACCATAAAAACATAACAATTACATAAGTACTTAATACTATTGTGACAAACAATCGAAAGCATTTAATTGTAGATTTATACCTATTTGTAAATTGTTTTATAAGGGAGAATTACAATTGGCTTGAAACTTTCCAAAATTTGTATAAATTAGACGTTAAATTTGTTGTATTTTTAAAGAAAATTTTATATCTACAAGTTTTTAAATGGTTTAAATTTTTAATTAAAAGTAATTAGTCGTAGAAAGATGTCTAAATATTTTTTTCTCTTTATTTATTTGTACCCATATTACACTTTTCCTTAGCCACCCATTTACGCCACTGCACGCCCCTCACCGCTAACATGTTGTAGAATTTTATACACTGAAGTTATATTATTTTTATGTAGTGAAGAAAGACAGCAAAAATACTTTGGAATGTTACGATCAAGAATTGCAAATTTACACATTGACCGGAATAACACAATACACTTCTGACCTTTCATCAGAAGTTGGGTGTTCTATGTGCATGATATTAAACGAAACTAACTACGGTTTTAAAACAGCGCAAATTATACAATCCTGTGTTACTAACCAAACTTCTTGTGTTTATGATAAAAACATCTATTCAAACCCAGACTCTATATACACGGTAATTATCATACTATGCTAATTAACAATTATAAACTTGATTTCAATAAGTTTAAAATTTCTAACATTTTGTTTGCTGTTTCTTTATTTTAGGCAACTTGCTGTTATAAAGATCTTTGCAACAATTTGAATTCCGACAATCCAACTATCCCAAACTGTAGTTTTACTTTTAGGTTTGGGTTTTGGAATGTTTTCGGAACCTTATTTTTGATTGTCGCTAATGTATAATTTTTTTTTATGCAAAAACTTTTTCTTGTCTTTGAAATACTTGCTAAGAATATAATAATATATATAATAATGATGGAAATAAATATAACAAAATAAAAGTAACTTCAAATTACTCGCCATAATCCAACCTGTGAAAATTTATTTTTTGATTTTAAATTTTATAAATTAATTTTAATTCTTAAAATAATGTTTTAGATGTTTTTTGATGCGTGTTTTAATTTTTATTGAAATTGTGTGAAAAATGATTTGTAAATCTATAAAAAACAACAATAAAACGAAGGAAAAAAATTTAACAAAGAATACTGGTTTATTCATTTCCTTAAATATGTGTGTGTTTGTGTGTGTATATATATATATATATATATATATATATATATATATATATATGTGTGTGTGTGTGTATATTTTGTTAAGTGATTTTCTACTAATTTATAATTGCTCTGTTCATTTAAGAACATTAATTATATATATATATATATATATATATATATATATATATATATATATATATATATATATATATATATATATATATATATATATATATATATGTATATATATATATATATATATATATATATATATATATATATATATATATATATATATATATATATATATATATATATACATGTGATAAAACAATGATTATTAAAAACATAAGTTCTCTATGGATTAGCATAAAAAATTTCATAAAATATTTAAAAACATAGTCACCCATGTCCAAATAAATATGCAAAGTCTAGAAATTTATGGAAAAAAAAAAATCACTGGAAAAAAAAAAAAATGTTCAAACACCCTACCCCAGATAAATAAAGTTGATGATAAAGTTGATAAGCTTAAAAGAACCTTATGTTATAGCTCATAAATTTAACAAATTTTTTATTACAATTGGTTCAAAACTTACAAATAATATTCCTAGCACAAAAATCTTATTTAATAATTTTTTAGTAATTACGGGTAATTGCATTTATTTTTATGAGTTATCGTCCTAATTATCCTTTAAAAAGTTCGAAAAAGCATTTAAATCTCCTAATAAAAAAAAGCAGTACGAGTTTTTAAAGCATTGATTGACGTTTATCCTGGACAATTGAAAGTTGCTAAAATTTTTAAAACTTTTTCAAAGAAGATGACATAACCAATAATTAGTAGTTACTGTTCCATCTCTGTCCTAGCAATATTTTCAATAATTTTTAAAAGAAATGTACAAGAAAATGTACAATTACTTGAATTACAATAGTCTAATTATTCTTATCTTGGTTTAAGATTGGCGCTAGATCAGCAAAGAGATGTTTGTCGTAAAACGATCGTCGCCAATTATCGGCATCACTTGTCATAAAAAACTATTCTAAGAAGCTATTCTAACTTTATTATATAAAAAGAAAAATTTACTAGGTATTTCTCTTTCTAAAGTGGGATCACTTTAGAAAGAGAAATACCTAATACTAATATAAAAGTAACTGATTGCCATTTATTTTACACCGAAATTGTTTTTAAAAAAACTTCTCTAAATCATTTAGATTGCGTTGTTTAAGGTTTATTTACGAGCTTCTAATGGAAAAACTAATGTTTATCCCGGACAAATAGAAGAAAAATTATTTTCAAAATAAAGTAAGCAGTGAGATATACCAACTGTTGACTCCAAAAAATATTATAATTAATAATATAATAAGTATAATTTATAATATAATAAATAGTAAACAGTTTAAAAAAGCAAACAAAAGTAATTTAGGTTTAAATATCTTTCAGAACATTTTGCTGATTTTGCTAGATGTTAGCTCATCGTGTTACATCACAGAAGTAACATCAGCAACACTTACATCACAGAAGTAATAAATGACATAAATTTTACTATTTCTATTTAAAGTTTAAAAGTAGAACATATTTTTAACAAAATGAAATCAAATTCAAATTTAAAACCAGATGAAGAGAGCAGCAATGTGGTTCTTACCTAGATGACAAAGAAATGTTCTTTAAAAATGAATAACCCATACCCGATATTACTTATAGTCTCCCTGAGTGGCATACTCAATTTCATCCTGAATTACCCTCAAATATCAGGCCAATTTCAACTCCCGGAGTGTAAAAATATTTTTATCCAAAATTTTAAAAATAGCCAAGTTTGTGCCTACAAAACCATTTTTCATGGGGAATTAATGCGGTAGTGGTGTAGTGGTAAGAGCGCTTGCTTTATAAGCGAGAGGTTCGGAGTTCGACTCCCACCACGTCCCTGGAAGTACCGCGCTCAACTTAATTTCTCCGCGCAGCGGCCTTGCTTGTCAAGGTTCGTGTTTCGGAGTTAAAGAGTTGAGAAAGGGTTGTACCACAATTTTCAAAAAAAAAAAAAAAAGTAGCTTCCTCGACTGTAGTGGCCCCCTCGGGCCTTGGGGAGGTGAGTAATTAAAAAAAAAAAATTCTTATACATTACTTTCACCAAAAGACAACCGAAGCTGAGTCCCATAGAATTTTAGTGGAAACATACAACGGCAATGTTCTTTTGGGGCAAACATGCGGGGGTTGGTTACGACAATTCGAGGGTAGCGTTTTTGACCTTGAATAACATCCTGGAACTTAAAAAAAGTTTAAAAATCAAATTGGAAGCATTACCTAATGAAGATTCCATCCACAGGAAGAGCTTGCAAAAGTGTTATGATTTGATCAGTCAACAGCTCCTAGGCGAAACAACTCGGAATGGTTCAATAGCAAAAAAAAAAGGTGTGGTGTGAGTTTTGTTACCTGCAAACAGCTGCTCGTGAGATAAAAAAAGAAAAAGTTTTCTACATCGAATTGTTACTGGCGATAAAAAGTGAATACGTTACGACAACCCTAAACGCAGAAAGCATGGGTCAAGACCGGCGATCCATCAATAATGACAGTGAAACCGAATACTCATTGTTCCAAACTCATTCTCTGTCTCTGGTGGGATCAGTTTATAGTATATACTATAAGCTGCTTAAACCAAACGAGAGTATTACAGCAGACAGTTACCGATAAAAATTGATTAAGTTGAGCCAAACATTTAAGGATAAAAGGCTGCAATACGTCAAAAGACATGACAAGGTTTTTTTTCAACATAACAACACACGGCCCCAAGTTGCAATTGTTGTGAAAAAATAACTGGAGAACCTCAAATGAAAAGTTGTAAACCATCCACCGCATTCACCAGATATTGCTTCCCTTCCGATTACCATATGTAACCGTCGATGACACAATGACCTGACTGAACGACAATTTTCTTCTTATGACGATACAAAAAAATGGGTCAATAACTCAATTGCTTGAAAAAACCAAGACTTTTTTCAGCTAGAAATACGCATGCTACCTGAAAGTTGGGAGAAGGTTCTAGCTGCCAATGGACAGTATTTTGAATGATCTGAGTCTGATAGTATTTTCAAAACAAACTGCTGATTTTTGTAAAAACGCTCATTTTTAATTTCCACTGCTAATATTATCATTTTTAAATCAAAGATTAAGTGGTGGTATTAATTAAAGTTGAAATGACCAATAATTTTTAATCTATGCAGTTAAATTTTGATGGAATTCAATTGTTTAAAATCAATTTCAGATGAGTTTTGGCCAGTTTTACGGATTTTCATGAAGTTAAAATATCACCTATTCTTATAGTTCCTACATTAAAAATGGAAAATTTAATGTTAATAATTTTTTAGAAAAACTTGTAAAGAAGCATATGTAAGGTTTCTACCAGAATTGTAATGCAGCTTTTTATTTTTATAAAGCTATGTCGGTCTTTGGTTATTAAATTGTTATAAACAAGTTGTTTCATTATGTATTTCTAATAAAACTTTCCATTAGCATGCATACTATCGAAGTTAAAGAGATTGGTCTGTAGTTGTCAGCCTTTAAGTGATCTTTTTTTCAAACAACAATGTAATGTTTGCTTTGAGCCAAAGTTCTGGTAGTGTTTCCGACTCTAGCGATTGGTTGAAAATAATGCATAACGGTTTGCTAAGACTTTCTGCACAATTGATTAGGACTGGTAGGTGGACTTTGTCACTTCCTGGAAATTTGTTTACATTAAGTTTAGATAATCTGTTTGAAATGTCAGTTTTGTTGAACAAAGGAATCGGACAAATTGAATTTGTTACACTTTCACATAATGGAATAACTTAAAGACTTTCATCTGTAAATATGGAACAGAAGAACTTGTTTCAATAGTTTTCTATAAACTGTACATCATTAGATAACTCGGTTTTATTGGTAATAAATGACCTTAACTTTAAGTTACTGTGTTCCTTAACTTTAAGTTTATTATTGATATAGGCATAAATTTTTTTGAGTTTTGTTTTGATTCTACTGAAATTTCCTTTTTGTACACTTGATAAAGTGTATTTCAATACACTTTATCAAGTCAAAGAAGTCAAAACAACCTTCACGCATTAGTAAATTATTAATATTTAGAAACACATATCAAATAATTATTTATTCAAAATAAAACATTGATATAATTAATTTTAACACTTTTTTAACATGCATTGTTACACCTGCAGTACACCTGTAAACATGTACGGGTGTACTGCAGGTGTAACTGCAGTACTATGTATGTTGCAGTATCTATGTATATTGCAGTACTGTAACATACATAGTTACACATGCATTACACCTTTATACAATTACACATACAGTACACTTGTACATACACGCCAGTACAGCTGTATTGCATTAAACTTGTAACCTTACACCTTCATTAAACTTGTAGTACACTTTAACACATGTACTGCAAAATTATTTCAAAATCTTTACTCTATCCCAGCAAACAAAAAGATATCTAAAATGCATCTAAAAACTGATCTAAAAGATGTCTAAATTCAGGTCTAGAACGGGACATAAATAGACGTCTATCTTATAGACGTCTTTTAGATGCATTTTATTCGACACAAATAATTGCCTTAGATGCATAAAAGATGTGAAATATACATCTTACAGATGCATATTAGATGTATAAAATACGTCTCTTAAATAGATGTCTAAGGCGCGTTTAAAAAAGATAGA